CTAAGTGCAGGAGCAAACAAAGGAGAATTTTAACCAGAGAACGTCTCTGCCATCAGCTGCTTCTGAATAAAATCTGTAAAGCATTACAGAGTAATCTCTGTCAAAAGAAGTGTGACTGCACTGTACTGCTGTGATTTCATGGAGTAATTGGATTGTTTTATCATCTCCCGTTTGAAAGCAACACCTGGTAGCACTTTTCTTTCGAACCCAATGTGAGCAAGAAATGAATAATACCTGAAGATGACGTGACTCATGGTGATAAAATACTACACAAAATGTTGTCATGGCGATGGTATTAATTAAACGTAGCATGGATGTGGGAAGTAAGGATGAGATGGTGTAAATGGAAAAGTCATTCTTCAGAAATTCTCTGTCATCATATTCCAGCAAACTCGACTTCTGCACCTCGTCTTGGCTCAGCTTTCAGGCTTTAGAAGATCTTAGTCAACCGCACGGCTTTTCTGCTTGACTACTAAAGTATCATCTGTTTTCCTGTCAAATACAAAAAAATATGCCTGTTTTTCATCGTTCTGTTTAAAACCAAAAAACAGAAAGACAGTCAAGTGGAACAAAGTGGAGAACAGCTCGTTTTCTGGTTTGGTTTAATCATGTGATTGTTTTTTTATTTCAGTTTTTCTGTTTTAAACCAAAACAACATGAGAAAACAAGGTATTTTTTCTTAATCTAATCATATGATTACACCAAATTTACAATAAAAAACACATTACGTTGAATTATTAGTGGAAATAGATATTTAGAAAACAGAGAAGTTGGCCCATTTTCTTGTTTATTTGCTTTTAGTTTCATTTCATTCTTGGTATTTGACAGGAAAACAGTTTAAACTTTAGTATACTTTATATACTTGAAGTTGGAAAGACGAGAGGTTTTCATTTGTTTGCTTGTTTTCTTCATTTCCAGGATTCTGCCTGTTGCAGCTTTACAGCGTTTAGGAAAAGCCATTTCTCATTGCCTCTTTGAAATTGAATTGCATCGGGGGTATCCAAGTGAAAAGGAAAATTTGTGACACGAGCTGATGTGCCAGAAAAAACAGGAGATAAATAAAGAGTGGAGCTAAACGTTTGGTCAGAAACGAGGGATTGAGACGGGAAGTTTTGGAGAGAAATGGGAGCCTCGCCACACGGTCGGCTCAGCGGGGGGTTTGAAGCGCAGTTCGGAGGAGTGTCATCAGACACGACCCAACATGCAGCAGACGACCAGACAGCAACGAGACCTGCAGACTGTAGTTTGTGTGTGTGTGTGTGTGTGTGTCGTCTGGCCCTGTTCGTCCCACGAGCACAATTGCAAAAACAGAGCAAATCATGCAGCATATTCTTGATGAAGTCAAACCTTACATGCGTCGTATAGAAATATACGATCTGTGAAGTGAATGTGAAAGTATTTTGGGTTCGTCTCCTCATGTCTATTTGATATTTTACAGGAAGAAATGTTGCAAGGGCTTCAAGTTCGTGTTGGGCCAGTGCATTCCTGAAGGTAGGAAAAACCGTTTGGATGTCTCTCCTGTGTTTTTATGATTGTTTTGGAAATCGGGCTATTCCTGTCCCATAAGGTCATGAAATATCTAATAATACTTCACTTTCCCTTCTCTCGTTGTCTGTTTTGAATTTTTAAAAGAGAGAGAGAGGGAGAGAGGGAGAGAGACTGAAGATGGATGTGAGATTCCTCTTGGTGGTTTGGCTTGTTCACGCTAATGAGGCATTTACTTCTGCAGACTATGACGTGTGCGCCGGCGCCCCCTGTGAGCAGCAGTGTACGGACCACTTTGGTCGGGTGGTGTGCACCTGTTACCCTGGATACCGCTACGACCGCGAGCGCCACAGAAACCGAGAGAAGCCCTACTGTCTGGGTGAGACCTTGTGCAGCATCACATCAGTATAAATGTTCTTTCTGACACAAGGAGATGCTTGATGTTGTCAGATTTGTAATGAGTAAAAATGTAGTTTTGTCTTTTCCCTCTGGTAGAAGACACTTCTGTTTCGTTTTTGTAAAGAAAAGCAACTGTAGGTTTAGTAGTTCTTCAGTATTTTGCACAATCTCTCGACTGGCATGGTCTGAAACTGAACTATTTAAAAAATAATGCTGCACTCAGAAGGAATCATCTGCAGCAGAAAGCATAGTTCAGTTGCCTTGTTTGTTTTGTTGGTTTTGAAATAATGATTAAATGCTGTAACAGGTGAATTTAGATAATTATAGATATCATCAGTTAAATTTGTTCCTGCTCAGCATTAAAATAACTGCGAGGCATATGTCATTATTTAACCTTCAGTCTCATTTTCTGTGTTTCGACATCAGTTTTTACCCTTTTTCAGTGTTTACCATCATGTAAACATAACAGTTAAATGAATGAACTGGACAGCTGTATAAATATTTATATTACAGTCATATATGTGGATTATTAATTCTTGCTTTTATTTTAAAATCCTTTTGCTAAATCCGGCAGTTGATCTTAATTATGCAATGTACACTGTATATTTTTTTCAACAAAGTTGCTCGAGTTACAAAAACACACATATCTCCAAGAAAAGCGAAGAAAAAATGTTGTATGTTTGGTGACAGTGTATTTCTCAGACAATCCAGCTGGTTTTAAAATCATTTGTTTACATTAAAAATTAGTAGAATTTTTGCCAACTCTTGAAGATTCACTTAATTCTTCAGTTTATGTGAGAAATTCCAAAATCATAAACACAAACTTACTAGGGATAGTGACACTTTTTTATGGTCATGTTCAGGGATGCATGATATTAAAATTTCTAGCCGATACCGATATCCGATATTAACATGTATGATGTTGCCGATAACCGATATCACCGATGTCAATATTCAATTTTTGTTCATACCGAAAAATGAGTATAAGTAAGCACTGTGAGAATGTGAAAACTGTTCAGAAGAAGCCCAAATTAGACCACATAGTCTTCTCTCTTACGTAACAAAAGAAAAACATATTTAACATTTAGGTCCAGGACCATTTAAGTAAAAACATCTGTGAAATAGCAGCAATATCAAATGTAGAGACGAAGGCGCTAATGTCAGACAATCATCGGTTTTTCACATCGGCTACATTTGTTCGTTGGACCGATACCGATATATGGGAAAAAACGCAAAAATCGGCCGATACCGACATGGTCGCCGATATATCATGCATCCTTAGTCATTTTGGATGTTATCGTACACACGCATGTTATGGGGTCTAAGTTCTTCTAATTTCCACTTTGTCCTTTTTCAATCTGCTCGCCGTCTCCCGTCTGTCACTGCAACATATAGACATCGACGAATGTGCGGACAAAAACTCGACAGCTTGCTCTCAGATCTGCGTCAACTCCGTGGGGAGCTACAGGTGTGAGTGTGAGAAAGGCTATTTCCTGGAAGAAGATAGGAAAACATGCACCAAGGGGGAGAGAGGTGAGAATCCTATTTTTACTGACATTTCTTCTCCCGTTATTCAAGGGCACATCTGACTGTGATGTGGAGCTGACTGCACATTGTTATTGCTGTGTGTGTGTGTGTGTGTGTGTGTGTGTGTGTGAGAATGAACCAGAGGAGGGGGTTCTGCAAATCCAGACACATGGTAGTCATTAGACATCGCTGCCCCTCGTACATGTCAGAACGGTTCTGTCTCCCGAACATACCGCTGCCCCCGTGACTCCTGCTGTTTTCTGATTTGCTGGATGCATTTGAGGAAAACACAATTGGTGGAGGCGATAAAAACATTTTTTTTTTTGCCCCAGATTCGGTTGCCAATGAAGCGTTGAGGGGCTGCAGATTTGTTACTTCCTCCCATAAGTTTATCTTCCATTACCTACTGTAACGTTTCAGGAGAAGCAGGGGAGTGAGAGACTGTAGTGCATATAATCATGGTCTGGCTTGTCCTCCTGCTGCTTTGTAATACAGAGGGGAAAATAGTGCCCAGACACATTCACCCATCCATTAAATATATGCATGTGTAGGCTAGGGCCCACTCGACTACAGACTTAAGACAAAAACAGGAGAGCCAGTGAGTTCTGTGTTTTTCGTGTTTTTACCTTTCTGGGATTGTACAAGTTTATTGATTAAATGTGTTTTAATGTGATTTAAAGACAACAGAGAGTGGATGTGGGTGGAAAAAGAGGACGTGAAGTTACTACCAGCTCTGGAAATATACTCTTAAATCGCCTTGTTACCTCCAGCAAAGCCTTCCTTCTGATTTTAGTTGTGCACTTCCCCTGGAGTGTGACACATTTATGAGACCACCCTCCGACGTCTGGTTCAGTGGACAGTGTTGCAGAGTTAGTCTGCACTGCATAAGTCACTCATCCCCTGAACAGTCTGTTAGCTTGCACAGGTTTTAAAAACCCATCAAGCTGTCGTCTAACCAACTCCAAACTGTTCGCTTTTACTTAAGCGGCTCCGTGTTTTTATTGCTGAAAATGACAAAAGTATTTATTGTGTTGTAATGTTATAGGAACAGACTTAACCCTCTGAACTTCAGGCAGTTACTGGGTGTGTTTTGCTCCTCTCACATTTTCAGTCTCTGTGGGCTCATTTTTGAACTGCAGTATAAAATCCAGCACTTCTGTGGAAACAGAACGACAATGACTGGAAGTAGAGGCAACTCTAAAATGTGTAGGATGACACAGTTAGGATGCCAGGAATCACAAATATGAAAGTTGAATTTTTTAGATTTCTTATTTTACTGCCACCATTGATCTGTGAGGGTGCTATTTACCATTTACAACCATTTTAAATTATAATCAACATGTATCCGTCATCTATACACCGCTTAATCCTCACTAGGGTCATGGGGGGGCTGGAGTCTATCCCAGCTGACTCAGGGTGAAGGCAGGGGACACCCTGGACAGGTCACCAGTCTATCACAGGGCAACACTTAGAGACAGACAACCAAGAGCACTCACATTCACACCTACAGACAATTTAGAATCACCAATTAACCTCAACATGGTTCTGGACTGTGGGAGGAAGCCGGAGAACCCAGAGAGAACCCACGCTGCACAGGAAGAACATGCAAACTCCACGCAGAAAGATCCTGGGCGTCCTAACCGGGATGCGAACCGGGGATCTTCTTGCTGCGAGGCGCCAGTGCTAATCACCAAGCCAGAATCAACGTGTAATATTTTCTAAAGGCCGAATAGTCTCTAATTTTTTCGTCATCTGACTTTTGATTGCAACTGAGTCACTAATAGCTTGTGCTGAGGATTTTTTTTGTTTTTCAAAGAATCTGTTCAGTGCAAATGGTTCGTTTTTGGCACATTTTTAAATGAGACATGTAGAATAAAGTGATTTTGATGAAATACCTGAAATGTAATCTTAGATTTGGTTATTTTTCAACCACACATCACACATGATTAGTTCATGATAACTCGTGTCATTTTGGTGATCTTTTAATATAATATGATATATGTTAATGTTACATGACATGGCAGTTGTGTTTCCTTTTTTAGGACTGATTTAACGCAGTGTTGAATAAGGTGTTCAAAGTAAACTTTGTTAAGAAGGACTTTCCCAAAACATGGAAAATAAGTCAAGCAAAAACAGAGAAACTATGTTTTCCCCTTTTGCTGCCACTTTCCTGACAGAAACATCTTCTGGTAACATCAATGTTTTTCCCATTTCCCAGCAGTGCATCTCTTTGAGAAGTCCGATAATGTCATGAATGCTGGAACCTGCTCAGCCACGTGTGACGACTTCCACCAGATCAAGATGTCGGTCCTGCAGCTTAAACAGAAGGTAAAGAGTCACCGAGTGGTAACAGAAAACATCCGTCCATCAGCTGTGCCCGCTTTAGCGTTTAGAATGTCACGGGGAGTCGAGCCTGAGTGCAGCCTGCAGTGGGACACAGCAGCAGCCCATCACAGACAGACAGACAGACGTTCACCCTGACAGCCATCACCAAAGTAACCTGACGTGCATGCAGACACAGGAAGGTCACGCCGAAGGTCCCACAGAAAACATCTATCTTGAAAAAATCAAATTAAATGCTTTGGGTTTACATGCACCATGACGCTGCTTTTATCTCCAATCTGTACGTTTCTAGTTTGCTATGCTTGACCACAAAAAGGCTCAGCAGAAAAGTCCAGTCATGCATTAAACACACCTCTTTATTGGGCTGAATGTAAACATCCGCAGAACTATTTCTTTTCTTTATCACCGCCTAAAGGTCTCGCTGTACCTCTGAGGAGTCCATACCTGACTGCATTGCAGAAACAACAGCAGGCAGATCTTTACAGTTCTCCAGGGACACATTATAGCACTTTATTCCCTAATAAAAAAAAACGAGGCTGAAAAAATTTCCTCTATGTATAGCAGAGGGCGGAGGGGAATTCTTTGTCCATAAGCGTATATTGGTGGGCAGTTTATGTAAAAACCCAGCAGCGGGGTTACGTTTCCCGCTTTGTAATTGCAGCCGTCTGCACCTATCAGAGCACGAGTCTGTCAACAGTTGCACTCAACACCTTCCACTTTAACACATGATATATCGCTTCCAGCTGTGTGGTCGAGGTGGAGCCATACTGTATTTATGCAGAGGAAAACAATATGAAAATACTCCATGTGCTGCCTACTAGATATATTTTACAGCCAATGAGGAAATATATTCTCATTTGTTCATGTCACAGAGAGGTTAGAGTTGGAAATTAGGAAGCGGCCTCGGTTCAAACACCTGCTTCCAAGGTCACAGGCTACAATCTTGCATAATTCCTACTGATCAGCAGGTGAACCACGACCTCGCTCGCTCTGTGTGTGTGTGTGTGTGTGGACATATGCTCCTAGGACTTGCATGAATTCTGATTTGTAGGCCCTCGCAGCTTAGCGAGGCCTTTCACGTGTTCCCCACTGGGATTGCCACATCCACATGATGTTACACAGAGATCAAAGATAACTTTGCCCAAGGATGCCACTTAGCATACAGAGCAGGAGCTCTCCTGGTCATGCTGAATAATGCAGAGGGGTTGCCTGGCCTTCCATCTGGCTGGGTTACAGCTTGTACTGTGGAGCAGATAGGAGATCAGCTTTCATCTCTGACAGGGTATAACATTTTTGCATAATTTTACTTGATGTTGGCCCTCCGGTGTGTAATTTTCCTGTCCGGTTTGACAGTGCAGACTTTTGTGAATCATTGTATGTGAAACTATTTTCGGCGCTAAAAGATGAAATTGCGCAGTCAGGCATTTGGGTGTTTTATATCATTTCCAAATTAAAGTAAAAAACAACGTCATTCAGACACATTCACACTCATCATTTACTTTCGTTCGCACGTTTTTCCAGATGGTGTTGCTGTCTAACAGTGCTGACGTCCCCGAGCAGATGACGAGTGAGAAAATACTGACGTCACCTATATTTTTACCAGGACCTCCAGGTTCTCCTGGACCTCCAGGTAAGAAAAGTGAAGCAAAAAAAAAAGGGGTAAGAAACTGGCTTGCATCCAGACGTGACGATGGGAAGAAAGGTTAACAATCTACAGATGTGTTAGACTGTATTTAGGCACTTGTGTATATAAATTTAATTGCTAGCATGCTGATGTTTAGCAGACATAATGTTTAGCATGTTCACCATCTTGGTTAAGTGTGTTGGTGTGCTAATATTTGATAATCACTATTAAACACATTGTAAACATATTGAGCAAATAAAAAAGTTTGACCTGAAGGTGAATTAAAGGATCACAAAAGTTCTGATAATTAATTCATCACGAGGAGAAGGAGAATATCTGCACCATATTTCAGGGTGAACTGTCCTACAGTTAAGACATTTTATTCAGAATCACAAATGTCAACCCCATCGTGACACCAGAGGAAATATCAGCAGCTCGCCAAAGTCATTAGAATTCATAATGTGGGAATTATGAATGTCAAAGTCAAATTTAATTGTCGAGCACATTTATAAACAGCGAGTTTAAACCAAAGTGTTGTACAGTTAAAATAGCAGACAGTAAAACTCAATAAAAATGCATCGACTGAGAGACAAATCTGAAAGAAGACAAGACAATAACATCATGAAATATAAAAGATACAACACAATAGGGGATGAAGGCAGAGCGTCGAGCTCTGCTGGAACCAAATGCCAAATAGAAGAGGTGGGTTTTTAAAGTCTGAGCAGGTCTCACATGGAAAGGTAAACTCATTCAGGGATTAGAAGCAGCCACTGTAAAGAATCGATCACCTCTATTTTTGTGCCTGGATCTCAGAGCAAACACGAGTATCTGGCTGATCGACCTCAGTGCTCCGTGTGATGATATGAGGGCTCTGCTAAATAAGGCGGCACCGAACCATTTTAAACCTCAAAAACAAGCAATAAAGTCTTTTAAATGTCCTGAAATGGGAGGGAGGCCAGTACTGCTGCCATGTGATCACGTCTGTTTGTGAAAAACTGAATTACCTGACTGACCAGCAGGGCCATAGCTAGAGCCGAGCTGCCTGCATGGTTAAAAGCATTTAATCTGTCATCGTATACACTCTAACAGCAGTCTGCAATACTTTAGGAGATCCAGGACCAGAAGGCCCTCCAGGACTCACTGGACTGTTGGGACCCCCCGGCCTGCCTGGTCCCAGGGGCTTGATGGGACCCATTGGACCCACACCAGATCTGCAGCACATCAAACGGGGCCCTCGAGGACCTGTGGTGAGTTAATATACAGTCGTCCTCAAATGTATTCATACCCTCCCATTAAAGATGAAAAAAAACAGGTGTCACTGAAATAAGTTGAAATTGACAAAAGTAATAATAAATAAATAAAATTTAATGAAAATCAGGGAATTGCTTTTGAATTGGGGTTCAACAGAATTTTTTTTTTAAAGAAGCATGATGGGACCTGTGAACTAGTGCTTTGTTGAACAACCCTTTGAGCCAATCACTGCAATCAAGTGTTTTCTGTAACTCTCAGTCAAACTTCTGCACCTGTTGACAGCTATTTTGATTTTAGCCCACTGCTCATCAGCAAAGTGCTCTAATTTATCCGGGACAGTTTTGGTTTTGTTTTTTTTAATTGTTCTTTTCAACCACAATTCAAAAGTAATGTCTTATTTCACTAAATTGTAATTTAGCAAATTTTCATTTATTATTACTTTTTTCAGTTTCTAGTTATTTGAGTGACTATTGTGAATTTTGTCTTTTCTTTAATGGGAGGGGATGAATACTTTTGAGGACGACTGCATAGTGTTTCTTCACAGTAAAAAACACACACACACACACACACACACACACACACACATTGTATTATCTGATCCTATATACTGCACATATGCCTCATGTATAACATCACAGGCCTCTAAATGAGAAAGTATCAATGTATGTGTTGTGACTGTGACCTGTGGCCGACCTATGAATGATCTGCACCACTCTCTTACACAATCTTTGCTTTATTAATAACGGCTTCACTATTCTGCACCGTGTCACACGGTAGCATTGCCAAATGAGTATGAAAAGCAGTAAAACCTGAAAATTCTCTTTCTACTTTTCTCTATGCAGCAGATTTTATGGGCTTTAGGATTTTTGCTCACAAAATTTATAACATAAATTATGAAATTCTACGGTAATTCAGTAATCCCTGCATTGTGAGACAGGCCCCGGGAGAGGCACAAAACACATCCCATCACGCGCCCTCTTAAAGGCCCTAATTTTTGCAAGGTGAAAAAGGATGACACATGGTTATGGTAATAACAACAGAGAGGACTGAATCCATTTACAGCTTCACTTGTTTTCTTTGGCTGGCGGTGTTCCTGTGCAGCGCTCGGTCTTGCCTGCGAGTGTGTTGAAGTGTGGGATCTGAATCAAGAATGTGCAGGATGTGGCCATTGAGACATTTTTCTACTTTACAAAGGTCATTAAAGGTGTTTATACAGTCTCGCTATTGATAAATCAGACTATCGACAACCGCAATCAGTCATATGACAAGCTTCGATACGCCAAGAAGTCTGGTACGGCGGGTTGACGTTACTCATGTTGTGGGGACATCAATCTGTTTATAGTGACTTGTCTTGTTTATGGGGACAATGTAATGTAAACCATTAAATTTTAAGGTGAAGAGATTTAAGATGAGGATTAATGTAGGTTTAGGTTAAAGTTAGGGTTTGGCAAGTAGCAGCTATGTAAGGTATGTCTGCAGGAAATTCTCCTAAGTCTAAAATCTGAAGTCATGGAAATGTTTTGTGCGAGCGTGTGCAGTGTTTGACATTTGGACGTGTGTTTTAATTCACAACTTTTTTTTTATTTTCCCGGCCTGTTAATCCATTTAATCAGTGGACATGCTGTTGAGGTCTGACTAAGAGGGTGTTGTCGTCTCTTCACACAAAAACCTGATTAAAATCTGAGCGCAGCCATGAGGTTTGGCCACCGGGTCACATGTTTTTGACTGCATGTCAGAGTTTCACAGACGATGACTGCGTGACTCCGACTCTTAGTAATGATCTAAATATTGGCTCTGCTCCCTATACGATGTCTTCACACTTCTTTAAAGATCGTTATCCCACGAAAGGAGATCAAAGCGCTCACCACCATCGATCTGAAGTCACTCAGAAATGACCTGGAGGCAAGTTAATCTTAGTTAATCTCTTTTGATGGAGCATGATGAAGATGACAGATTTGTACTCAGAAGGAGTTTCATTAAATTGTTTTCCCGTGAAAACACTGAATTCGGGACATTTTTTTGTTCGGTGCAAGAAACATCAGGGGGTTGTGCGCTGGCAGGCCAACACAGGAACATGCTTATCGACATCAGAGTTACAGTAAACAGTCCTCTGAATCTGAACTAAAATGACTCATATGCATAAAAATTAACAACAGAATGAAAACACTGATGTGCAATATCACCTAAATGTCAAATGATTCAGAATACAGGCCCCATAGTAGGAACTTCTCTGTGCAGTGTTCATTTGTACGATTCAAATCTTTTATTTTTCCAATACCTCATATCCTTTCTAGACTATTTCCTATCAGTTGCTCCGTGCTGGATGGGTTGCCCTGTCTTGCCCTTTAAAATACGCCAAAGGTGTTTTATTGGTTTTATTTATTGGCATGATACGTGTCTTTTTTTCTTCTTCAGAAACTCTTGTGTGATTTTGGCAGTGTGTTTTGGATCGCTTTTATGCCAGAATATTCCTCATCTGCCAAGCTCCTGCAGACAGATTCATCTTGTCAGCCTGTATTTTGATATATCCACAGGCATTCTTGGTGCCATCTATAAATGTCATCCTCCAAACACCTTTTGCACTCAAGCAGCCCCATATTATCACTGTCAGGTCTATGCATTCACTGTGGTAGTGTTGGCCAGGTTGTTTAAAGATGATGTTCCCAACAATGATCAGACTTATATTGATACACGTTATTATAATCTTGTGGTTTTGTGCTGAAGCAAGCAAGGGTAATTGGAGATCATATGTGGGATCACAGATGTACTGACTTCTGTTGGATTTTTAGTTTCTAGTTTAGTTTCTGCTTTTGGACCTGTATTTTTAGTCAAGTCTTTTAAAGTATTTGTTTTTGAGTATTCGTAAGAGGAGATACTGTACATGTCAATTTTGAAAATAATGCAGTTGTTGAAAGGTTTTTTGATGGTTTGACATTTATGTGTTATTTAACAATGGTGTGCTCACCTCTGCTGTATATATGAACTACATTTTTTATCTAACAGGGTTCTCCAGGAGCACCAGGAAAGGATGGCCTAAAGGTGAGCTCAGATGCTTCTTTTTTTTGTTACCCAATATTTTAATTCCTGTGTATTTGGAAATATAACTTTCTCTTTAGTCAACCTATCCAGGAAAGTACCACTCACACAGAAGGAGGAGTTACTGATATCACTCTTTGATCTCACTTAAAGGGAAGTAACTTAAGTTGGTGCAACTATAGACGCATTTGCCAAAACCATGTCAGTTTAATTAAATTTCTCAATACCTTAATTGTTTCTCAGCTTCTTGAGATTTGTACACAGTGAAAAGTACAAGGCAGGTGCCAGGATACTTGCAAATCCTCACCTGGATGCTGCAAAGGGAGAGTTTGTCCAAGCAGATGATAGGATTACTAAACCGCAAGTTACAAGTTGTTACAGGACAAAGCTGGTTTTGCCAAACCGCAGTTTGCACAGTTTTCTCTACAATGCAAACACAAGTATTGCAGTGTTATTACATGCATGTGTAGCTTTGTCAGATTATTGAATGCTGGTAACATCTTGAGATCACACATTATCACTGGTCTTTTCAATTGATTGTGGTTTTTCTCTGCTGCAAATCAATTTCGTCAACATCCTTGGTGAGAACTGTTTCAGTTCACAATGCCAGCTCTTTGTCAATAGCTATAATATTAAGTGGTAAACCAGTAACGACTTCTAGACCACTAGTGGGAGACTCTGGATACCTCTGGGATATTACTGTTGTCTGGAAAATCTCATGGAATTTGTGAACAGTACCTTTAGATTGGCTGACTGGAGGTGGTAACCATTTTTCAAAAGGCTGGCTGGAATGTTTTTCTCAGCTTTGTCTCCCTGGGAAGCCTTAGGCAAAGTGTTAAACAAGAAGGAGGCTCCAGCAGATGGTTAAGTCTGAGACAAAAGGAGACATAATGCAGATTACATCCTGGTGACAGTGAGATTTGTTAAGCATTTTTTCCGTTTTTCTGCAGACATCACCATATTTTTTCCCCCCACTTTTGCAATATTTATAGACAAAAAAAATCAAAAAATCAAAGAGCAGCTGAGGTCACTTGTGTGGTGTGTTTGAAGCAGTTGCAGCTGAGTTTGACAAAGCCGGCTCTAGTACGTACTTGAATTAATTGAAGGGTGTGTTGAATTGTTGTTGTTGCGAGTGGAAATAAAACAAATGTATGATTATCATTTGTGACTGGGGCACTTGTTACTAAGATTAGTCACAAAGCAAAAGCCTGTGAGAATAAAAGTCAGCTACCCGTCAAGTCTCTGATGTGACCTCGACCGTGATGAGTGCGGCAGGTCGGTGAGGTGCTCACTTTGATTTCAGTGTGAAGTTGAAGCTTTGTGATGCTGCAGTATGAGCAGCCGGTTGAGGTTGTTCTGACATATTATCTGACCTAAAGGGGACTGTAAGCAGACAGGAGTATGATTCTGATGGTATTTTTAAAAAAAAACTCAAATTAAAATCATAAAAACCTCACCTATGATTTGCAAACATGACTTGGCTCTTGGATCCTTCACTCTGTTTGCTCAGCCTGCGGACTGAACGTATGGAACGACTTAGGTGCATCTGCTTTATTGACACAGCACGTCGGTATTCTCCCGCTACAGCTGGGATGTTTGTGTGGATAGATTGGAGGTTAATGCTAATCTGTCTCTCAGTAACAAATCTAAACCACCTGCCAAAACACTCACAGCCCCAGTGTGACCCTGAGCCGGGCTAACAACCAGAGTAGTCAGATCAATGTGTACGTGCTACTGTAAATCAACACGCTGCTGTTATACTAAACAGTCGAGCTACGGTGTACAATGTCGTACACAGGATGCAGTTTCTTGAAGGAATAGATTTACACTTAAGGATATAAACTCATTTGCCATCTTGTTGACAGTTAGTAAGAAGATCGATACAGTTTCAGCCTCCATGTGCCTGCCCCGTCTCTCCGATTATGTCGCCATACAACTAAACTGCATTCTGATGGAAACGTATTTTCCACCAGATTAGGTTTGTTTGTAACGTATCAGAAATATATTTCATATCAACATGACTGCCATTTATTTTATCGCTCTACTGTTACTTCTTTTGGAAACACCAGTCATATATTAGATGGAGCAAGACTCATTACCCTGGTAACTGGAAAAATGAAGGAAAAACTTCAAACATGTTGTTAAAGCGCCATATATTAACCAAAACCATGACATTTTCTAAAACCTAAGCAGGCAATTTTGGTGCCAAAAACTAGGCACACAGCAGCTGAAAACTAAAAGTAAAAAATGAGTGAAAACATTAAGGAACTCTGAGTATAACTGTCAAAAAAAAACAAGTCTCCGGGTTCAAAAGGCTGCTTGCTGTCTTATGCCGCTATTTGACCTCCTTTGCAAATTTTGTGGCTCTTTCAAACTGGAAGCTTTTTCTGCTATGTCACAGTCTTACCTTTCAGGGAGAAAATATGTTTATTTCAAAACAAAATTGCATTTCTTTTAAAACATTATTGAGAATTCAGTTGCAAATCATGTAATTTTGGGGAGGCAGGGTCCCATATGCAGCATCAGCAGGAGTTCAGTTAGCTTAGCATAGGATAGACATTGGATGAAAGGGGAATAGCTAACCCATCTAGCATCTATTAATAACACATTTTATCTGCATTTGTGGGGTTTCACTTTTCTGACTCACCAGATATAGACTTCTGATATAAGCCTGCCTTTTCTGCTGTGCATTTCAAGCCCCTTCCACTGTGTTACCATCAAAATACCTTTTGCTACAGGTGACAACAACCTCCGAGCAGCAATCCATGCACTGGAAAGTTAGAACTAGGATTTGCATCATGCAATAAGGCAGGCCTGCTGGGTCTTTTGCATGAATGAGTAATTTTAATGACAAAGCTGTCCTCTTTGTGAGTCACTTTGCAGGGGCACCATAGCTGCATCCTGGGCTTAGTACAGCCCAAGACAATTGTGATTGCTTCAAAGAAATAAAAACAAGCTCCCCTATAGTGTGATAGAATGATAATGAGACCATTCTCTGGCACTGACAGCTCTCTAGTGATGCAAGACTGGACACAGTATTTAGGATTTAAGTCCTGGAACTGTGTCTCTCTGGCACAGCTACTGGTTAACAAGATGTAGCTGCAGCACTGAAGTCCATGTGAAGCCACCACTTGTGTCCTCACATTGTGGGTGGGTGTTGAGATTACATAAATGAGATTAAAATATTAGTTAGTGAGCTCTAGAAGAGTGTATTTTTGAACTTTATAGAGATGTTCTTTAGCTGTTTATTCCTGTTTTTATGCTTCGCTACAGCTAATCAGTTCCTGGGACATGAAAGGAGTATGGCTCTCTCAGCAAGACAGCAAATAACAAGGCAGTTTCCAAAAAAGTTAAACTACCCCCTAATTGGCTAAGGAAATACTACAAAGTAGAATCAGATATTAATATTCCACAGTATGTGTTTTCTTAAAATGATGTGTTCACCGTTTTAATCCATTAGGTATCTTGTGGTTACTCTTATCCTGAACTCAGTTTTCTCTCTCTTCCTCAAGCTCCCTAAGTAGACTATTATGAATTCTTCTCGTGCTTTTACCTCCACTGTAACTCATCTTAACTAAATATTTGTTTTGTTTCCTCAGGGGGATCGAGGAGCTCCTGGGCCTGCTGGACCACCAGTAAGACTAAGGCTCTATCTATACCGATTGTAACCTGCTACTACCGTCCATAACCACATAGTGGAAGTGAAGCACGGCTGAAAAGCAGGCTACTGGGGACATTAAACAACAGTTGATGATACTATCACTCTCAAACTAAATATTATCTTGTACAGAGTAAGCATTATCCCCTTAGATAAACACTGATGCCGGTGCTGACATTAACAATTTATGAGCTCATTAGCCAGCAGTCCGTCCATTGATCAGCTGGATCCCTGTTGCGATAAACTCCTCTGTGGCTACTGAGTAAATAAATGCCATCTTTTAATTAAATCCTCACATTATCTAAATGTGGAATTGATCCTAATTAGATTTCCATAAATAATTAGCAAGATTTTTTTTTTTAAATCCCTCCTTCTTTTCGCTGTACTTGACCTCCAGGGCCCTCCAGGCTCCTTTGATTTCCTGCTTCTGCTGATGGCGGACATCCGCAACGACATCGCAGACCTGCAGAGCAAAGTGTACGGTCGACAGATTCACTCTCCGGAGGACTTCCCCGTGGTCCCCGACAGCTGGAGGGACAGCCAGGACAGTCTGGACACAGGCTCAGGTGAGGACTATAAGGAACCTTCAACTCGAACGGGCTCCAAGAGGAACAGGAAGAGGAAACCGGCACGAGAGAGAACAGACTGAACAGACTGGAAAGAGGGGGTTCCTAAATACTTTATGTCAGGTGTAAATGTTGAAGTGGTTTGCTTTTTTTTTTTATTTAACTGTTTTTAAAAAGAATGTACTGTTTGATGGCAGATGTTTATTTTTGTATGATCCATGTACGAGATTATGTGTGACTATTTTTAAAACAAAAACGAGACTGTGCCCATGCATGTTTTTATAAATTGTATATTTTCAGAAACATATTGTTCCTTCACAGCACATTAAACAAGTCTCTCATTAAAATGTCTCTCATGGTTTTATGACGCTGAACTATTTCATATAAATTGTATAAGAAAGTAATCCAGCCAGTATCCAAACACATCAATTTATGAAGTGTGCTTGAATTCACAGGCAACATTAAAGTCATACAAATGTTGGATTGGAGCATTTAAACTTGTTTTGACCCCTAAAACATTTAGTCCTCATCTATAACTCAAAGTAATAAAAAAAAAGAATACTTGCATTGCTGACCTTTAATAATTTCTCTGTAGTTTTCACCCTTATTTGATGAGCAGCAGTGTTTTAGAGCTGCAGCTAATGATTTTCCATCCATCCATCATCTCTACACCTTCATCCTCACCAGGGTCATGGGGGCTGGAGTCTATCCCAGCTGACTCAGGGTGAAGACAGGGGACACTCTGGACAGGTCACCAGTCTATCACAGGGCTACACTTAGAGACAGACAACCAAGCACACTCACATTCACACCTACAGACAATTTAGAATCAACAATTAACCTCAACATGTTTTTGGACTGTGTGGGAGGAAGCTGGAGAACCTGGAGAGAACCCACACTGCACAGGGAGAACATGCAAACTCCACCTTCTAGCTGCGAGGCAACAATTCTACCAACTGCGCCACCTTGCAGCCCATTATGTAGATTTTTAAAAATGAATCAATGAATTATTGAAATGTCAAGAAAAAAAGAGAAAAAATGCACAGTTACTGTTACAGCTTTGCTCCAGTCGTCTTGTTTACTCTGATCGAATGTCCAAAAGCCAAAGACACTCAACTTATTAGTATATGTGATGCACAAATGCAGCAAATTGTGACGTCTGAGGAGCTGCAACCCAAGAATTTTTTTGCTTTTTTAATTGTTCTTGCTTGGAAAAACAAGTGAAATGCCATTACCCAAATAGCTGCTGTTTACCTTTCCGTCTAATTTATCAATTAATTGTTTCAGCTCCGGTAATTTCAGGTGTTGGTGACACTGTGTGAAGACTTCAAATGAATTCTGCAAAACAATAATGCATGTTTAAACTCAATGCACTGAATGAACCACACAAATAACAACCTGACCGATTTCTCTGCTCCCTCAAGCCGCTTAAGTTTGTGAGTCTGGTGATAGCATCGTTCATGTCGCGGATGTGGTGAGAAGTGGCGAGCTGTAAAGAATTAAGAGTATTAATGTCGACTGCAAAGCAGGATGTTGGTCTCATTCCATTAATTAAGTCTAGTGACGCCAATTGTTTTTTAAAGTTCCTAAAATTGTCAGCAGCAGGAAACGGTCAACCCAGAGTTTCTATAGTGCGAGCGATTATGCTTTCCAGCGATTGTTAAGTCGGCTGCATATCTGATCTGATTTTAAATTATGTGTAGAAAACTCAGGCCATCTTTTCCTCTGGACGCCTGCAGCTGTTGGATGTCTGTGTGGATGACAGTTTAGTGAGTTTCTGTTGTGAGTGTGTTCTCCACCAGAGGGCGACTTTGTCCCTGCCAAAGAGGGGAAGCAGTGGTTAGTGTTGTTACAGTACCTTTAATCAAAATCTAAAAACAATTAGATTTGTATTTATTCTTTTGGCTTCTTGGCTAAAAAAGAAAGTATAATGTCAGCATTGCAAAGTTTCGTGTGACCTTACTGCAGCAACATGGGTTCAAATCCAGCCTGGACCATGTACTGCATGTTATCCCCTATCCTCCAATCTCCTGCCTTCCCTGTCTCTTTCTAATATCACTTTCTAAAAAACAGCAGAAACGCCAAGAAACCCTACAAAAAAATACAACTACAGATGTAAGGACATGAGAAACATTGGCTTCTGTAATGGAAATAAATGTTGAATTTGGCTCAATAAATAAAAATGTTAGTCACACAAATACCAGCAACTTCAAAAAATATGTAGTGCAGTTTTTTCAAGGCTGGAGAAAATGGTTCACCTTGAGGTCAGTGAGGAGATTAATTATGTGAGCAAAATTTTGCATAATCACTGCAAAGACAAGCTTGTTTTTTAAGCACTGATTGAGTGGAATACGCCAGAATCATAAAGCCTCAGCACAAAAAAACCCCACATATCTTGGCTCATAATGCAGCTCATCCAGCAACAGAAATAATTATTTCTTTCTGTAAACAAAATAAAGTGCGTCTTTGATGTCTTAAAAGCTTATAGTGTGAAATGTTAACTCTGTCTGGCCTTGTGAAATATGTTCAAAAAGCTTGTTTACTTTTGAAAACGCCTCCCTAAACATGATTTATCTGCCAACATTAATGAGATTACGCAGTGTAACGTTACTTTATTTGTTACTATTGTCCACACAAGTTTGACTCTGATCTGCCTACTAAAAAGTTTCGTGAAATCAAAGCTGGAAGCGACTAAACTTGCTTGGCGAGGAAGAAGTTAGAGGTGTGTTGGGCTTCCAGCTGGGTTTTGGACGCAGTACAGCCTTTTCTGAAGTCATAAACTTTTAAGTTGGCCTTTGTCTCTCTTACTCATAACATATTAATCTCACTCTGTCTTTATTTGGAAGAAGAGAAGTTACAGATACAATCTTGGGAAGGTGTCCAAAACAAGGTGATTTCATCTTTATTATCACGACTAACATAACCGTGCAGTAAAATTGGCTCAAGCGCCAGCAGTGGTCCAAGGCTTTTATGTGAGGACTTCATCAACAACCACGGCAGAGTGACGTGTTTCATCACAGCTGCCAAGTGAGATCGCTAATTGTGTTTTATATTGGGATTTACACATTGTATCCATTAATTAAGCCTTGTCAGCATTACAGTTTGTTTAGTGGTTTTTGGCTATCAATGCTTATTTTTATAGGTTTGTTTGTTGTGCATTTTGTCGCACAATACAACCAAAATACAATGTTGGGTATTTTTGCACAAACATGAAAAGGTCAAAGTACACACCACTGTCGCACACCAGCTCCTTATTAGGAAGAAACGTTACATTTAGAAGGCAATGAGTGCGAAATTTCTTTTATTACATAAGAAAAGCCTTTATTATTCCCACAGTGGGCACATTTGCAGTGTTATAGCAGCAAAGAGGACAATGTGAGGAACATCAGAAGAAAAAAATAACAAGAAAATACCCATAAGTACTGGTTCTTCCATGTGTGGGTAGTAACCTGTCACCTAAACCAAATGGCCTGGGGGTCCAAAAGACCCCAAAAGTCCTGAATAGGGTGAAATGTACAAAATAATCATAACGCACAGGTTTGAATGTGTAGATATTGCACCAGAATGAAGGGAATCTGACAGCATCAGGAAAGAAGAAGCTGCAGTAGACGTTAGCAGCCACTAGAGGCCACATATTAATCACATTGATATGCTTTTATTCTTTTAAAAGAGGTGTACTGCCATTTTTCATTTTGGAAAAAAAAGGTGGCTTCTGGGATTTTTCCTCAGTTTCCTTTTGATGAACAGTGCAGCTGCATGTAGGGATCCTCTCTGTCCACTAGGTGGCAGCCACGTCTCAGCCATGCCCAGTCCTCTGAGTGATCACAGCCTGCACACAGTGCTCACTGAACTCATTAAACTTTGCTGTGTCGTTCACAGAAAAGCACATGAAGATAATCAAAACACAATCATGAATAAAGCTTTGTGGGAATGTTCACTGAGCATGGCTAATCTGTGTTTTCTTGTTTATTTTAGGACTCAATGACACTAGTTGTTTTTACGCAACAATAGTCAATATCTTTCTCTCAAAGGTTGACCTGCCCCTGTTAGAGTCATTATTTTAACCATTTTGTTCCTGGAAGCAAGTAAATCACCTTGATTAACCTTTTTATTTCTTTTTCGTATGCACATTTTGAAATGCATTTAATAAAAGTAAAATTAAATTATTTGTTGGCTACAGTACTGTGATAAGTATGAATAGTTTCACCCTCTCAATCACCATCATTAATATCATTCACAAAAAACAAAACCAGATTTGTTCACTTGTTCGGGACGTGCCCAGAGTTACATCTAATCACAGTCTGGTGCCACCACCTTCATTAAACACTACATCATTGTTTACATGTTGTGCATTTGTTTTACAATGAGCCCATTTTCAGAGAACAGTACATGTCATAATTTGGATTTGATTAAAGAGGGACCGATATTAACGTCCTGTGCACATCCTTTTAACAAGCTGGGGTCATCTTGTCCAGAAGAAGACAGAAGAAAGACAAAAAAAACTTGGCAATATATTTCTCCAGTATCCCTTCTGGAAGTAATTAATCACCGTCGTACAAGGACGAGCCTTAAAAGATTTCAAATATTTGCTGAAGTGCCCCCTTGTTCCTAATTATATCTCCCTGCTCGTCCCCCTCATTATTTAGAACTACCACACAAAAAGATGCAACAGTGAATGGGAACACACACACACACACACACACACACACACACACACACCCAGCCCCCCTGCCAAAGAAAATGTTTGATAGCGAATGAATGAGTGAGTTACTGTGCTGCGATAAAGGCCTTAATGAGGTAATTTTATTAGTAGCGGCTGCCCAGAACTGTTGAAAACAGATGGGCGAAACAAACAGAGAGAGGCAGCATAGAGAAAATTAGTGTTACCCAATTCATTAATTAATGATTACTGTGGGCAGCAAATTAACTGCCCCAAAAATCTTCTATTCAGCGAAGATTATGAAGAAAAAATACATTGTTGTCCTTCAACGTAATTACAAGACAGTGCAAATTCAATTCTAATGAGGCGAAAGGCACCCCCTTAACATACATCCCCTATTTCCCCCTCTAAAAGGCCCTGCTCTTGTTGAGGCCTAAGTTTAAGGAAGCATTGAGAGTGAAGGAGACAATAATGAGAGATCGGCCTGCGCCTAAGTGCTTTATATGCTGCAAACAGGTAGAGAGGATTGAATGGCTCTCTTTCTGGGACTCCTGGGGGGCCGGTCTTCCCAGCACAACAACACTTGGCCCTGAGAAAAGGGTCCGCTGAGGAGCCTGGAGAGTGAATGGACCTGTGCCGCAGTGGGTCAGACTGAATGGCCACAAGTTCTTCAATTCAATGATTAAA